ACGGTATCATTATGAATTCCTCACTTGACATGGGTGGATAAATAGTGTGGGTTAATTTACCTTTTTTTTTTCATGTTTCTGGTTGCAAACAAAAAACATCACCCTCAATATCTGGTTGTTGTGTTGACATTGTACTTTTATGTCAGTGTCCAAATGTGTATATTCATACTTTTTTTTTTTTTTGTCTTCACTATAAACAATATCGGTGCAGTCGAAATGGATCCACTACATCTGGAGGTCAGGCCTTATATTCAATCTTGAGCACATTGAAAAAAAAAATCCATTAGGGTTCATCTTTCCTGCATCAGCCATTCTATTGTGGTGCTGCAGTGAGATCTGTTTTCATCAAGCAGATTCAATACGTGAGCTGGGCAATGAAAAGAGTGCAATAGAGTTAGATGAGGAGAGGAGAGGTTTGGGGTGATGCTGGGGGGGGGGGGGGGGGGGGGCAAGTAGATATTGTAAAGAATAAAAAGATAAATCTTATTCAAACGAGGGTATAGCTCTAGTTTTCTGTACCGTCTGGATTTCATTATTAGATATTTTAGACATAATTCAGTTAAGTGAAATGAGGTTACTTGACTTCAACAAAGGGCTGAAAGCTGCTGTTTTTTTATGTGGATCCATATGGATTGGAGTACTGTATGCACATATTTTTTAATTACTCCAGTACAAATACAACAATAATAATTTGGCTGCTTATCTAACTATAATTGGGGCAAAGTAGATTTTTTTTGCAGTAGCTGATCATAATCATATTGGATAGATTAGATATGTGGCTTTGCTTGAGTGGTTATTTTGCAGGTGATTTGTTATTAGCAGACTGCTACAAAGACACAATTTATTTCCATTTTTCCAAATATCTACAAACAAAGAGTATTGGTTTTTAAAGTAGGATTTTTTGGTTCTTTAATGCAATTCTTAAAGATTACAATGGATGAATTCATTGATGGAAGATATATGTTGAAAATTGCTTTTGGTTTGGATGTATGCTTTTGGTATGGATGTAAAAACTAGTCCAATAATAAAAAAAAAGCAATGGAATTTTCTGAATATGATGTGTTTCAGTTTTACTTTAGGGTCCTTGTTGGTTGCAAATATTAAGCCTGACTTAAAATAAAGTTATCGTTTCACTAAAAAGTCATAAATGGAATATATTGCACTTTTCTAGTCATACTTTAAAGTACTTTATACTATATCCACATTAACCAAATCACATGTACAGATTTATATATTGATACAAAGATTGGTAGGCAACTGTTGGTCAAGTAGGGAAACTGGAATCGAACACACAACCTTTTGATGCAAAACGACTCCACTCACTAAGCCTTTACTGATATAAAGCTAAATGTTCTCTGGAGACCAACATGTTTCTTAAGGTAATCTTTAAAGCTATAGGTTGTTTTCTGTTCCTTAGATTGCTCTTTTTTCATTTCTTAAATTTGCCTACACTGATAGTTTAGTCCACATATTTGTGATTCACTTTCTAAATAATAGCAGGTTGCACTAAATGCCAACAAATCCACGGATGATAGAAGCAAAATCATTTGCTAATATGCAGAATCCGCTATCGATGAAAGCCTTTTTCAGATCTTCTGTACCATTCAGGTTTTGGTCCATTTCAGATGTTTCGGCATGTAATAGTTTTGAGCATTTTGTATTAACCTCAACCCTTGCATAATCTATTAACACATAATATGTAATCCAGTTCAGTTCAATATATTTCCTTTTTATTAATGTTTGTTTCTGTATCTGTTTGATTCTGTTCAGCTCATATGATGGCTCAGGTGTCACTCACAAAGGGAGAACACGCAAAGTTACAAAATAGAAAAAATGCAACAATTTAAACATGAGACAAGTGCCTCTAGAGGGAAGAGGCGAACTCCCCTCTGTAAAAGCCTCTAATAAAGAATAGAGCACAGGGTTTGAAAGTCTGCCATTAAATGTTTGTTCATCCAATACTGAATCAGATTCTGTTAATATAAATATTTGCAAAGAAAGGCAGCAGATAACAGTATCATACTTTAAATATATCAGCAGAGATTTTATTAACACCAACATAAAATTAAGCTTCCATTAATACATTGCTTTTAATCATCAAATTCATCTTTTTATTTTCTTTAAAAAAGGATATATTTAAGTTTTTCTTCAGTAACACAATAGGCTATTTCTATCTTTTAGTAAGTCCAAGAAACCATCAACTAATTAGCTAAATTAAAATATTCAACACATTTCCTGTTAATGCTTTTGACTTGTACTTATAATGTTCTTTTGAAAGTAAGGGTTTTGTTGGCTTAAACCCTTCATTTTTAGTGCATGTTAATAGAAAGCATTTTTTTCCATTTCCCTACAATCTGAAAGACCCAAATAACCACTTTGCTAAGAGCTCTTTTTTAAAATGATC